GCTAATTCAATCTACCTGGAATCTGTATCTTCATACTGATGCAGCTTCCTAGGGGGGGTGGGGGGGGGGGGCGAAGGGGAACGGTAAGGCTACCTGCATAGCCGAGTCTCCTGGTTATGGTTTGCATACTCTCATGCCATATCTTTTTTTTACCAATTTTGACTTTTTTCATCCCCTACCTGCCTACCTCAGCATAACTTGTTCGGTTACCGCACCAGACTCGTGCAATACGACGCAGACGGCAGTGTTCAAACATCGATAGTCTATCTTGATCCTGTTTTCGTAATGGCCAAGTATGCGTACTGTATAGTAGAGCTGGCCGAATTGCTGCAGCATATACTCGACGCTTCACAGACAGCCGGATGTCGCGACGTCGTCACAGATGTCTCAAGTTGGCAGATGCAACCGAACCTTCTGTATGCGAGCTGATATTTCATCCGTGATGCGTTCTCCGACTGAGATGTAACTTTCCAAGTAGCACAGTTTGTCCACTACCTCCATTATTTTTCCAGTTAGAGTGATTCTTGGATCTGGATGAACCCAGTCTTGTTGTAACATTTTACACTTTGAAGGTGCAAAACGCATACCGAACATGGGTACAGTAGCACTCAAACTGTTGAGCAATGTTTGCAACTTATCTGCATGGGGACATCGGGCTAATTGTGATCATGGGCTAGAAACCAATTGACGTGACTGAATGGCGCAAATTGTGGCTTTCGTGCATCTGTTAAATCTTTCGCGACCTCAGTTCACTGAAATTCTCTATTTTTCTCTTCGACTCTAATTTCAACCTTCCTGTCTTTCTCCTTCTGCTTCATCCAAATGGGCAGCCAACCGAGAACACAACCAAAGCTGTGTCACAAAAGTGTATGGTTGTACCAACTGAACACATTTAATCAATTTGGTTTACCGATGCCTTCGTCTGAGTTGCTCCTATTTTTTAGATTAGTCGCATGGTCTCTTTGGTTCTGTCGTAGACTGATTGACGGAATTGCATAATTCCTGTTTTTAGAAAGCACGTCAACCACGTCACTCTGGCTCAAACAGATACGCACAAATTTATTTCACCTTCACTCTGTGCATTACTCCGTATTAATCCCTCATTGATCAATTCGTTCGTCGTTCATTTTGTCGGTCGCCTTCTGTTAGAAAATGTTTTTTTTTCATTTTGTACAATCGACAGCTTTTTAATTATTAATTACTAGTGAAGGATAACGAAAAAAACGTTCACTGTCTACCTCGTTTTTATCAATAATCGGTAACATCTATACACGCTGTTACTAGGACCNAGGACCATGGTGAAAGACTGGTCACTATCCTTACCATTCACAGTGGGTCCGATTGAGCATGGGATTCGCCCTCTTTATCACAACGGTCGATTACGACGTGATGTTCGGTGAAATTAAAACATGAATAAAGCACGTTTCATCGTCCGGTAATTGTCCCTGACCAAAACAATGCCTCATCTGGTCGATAAATACCTGTTTTTATTTTCTTCATCGGGTTAGCAACATTAATTTCATTTTCTTGTTATCGTTTCGAATCCCACAGGGTAGATTAACCGAGTCTGTATGCAAAATTACCTGTCCTGTAGATACTGTTGAGGGTTTCACAATGCGATAAACGCCCTTTATTCAAGTACATTAATTCTGATTTTGTAACCAGTTTCAAACTGACATCTCCTCTTGTGTATGGGCTTTAGTTCCATTTCACCTGTTCGCCGAACATGGCAATTTGTTTACAAACGTTTCATCACCATCCGAGGTGACATCATCAATGCTTGTCAAGTGGCAGTGTTCAGCTTGTACCCGTTCGTCTGTTTTTCACCACCGACTGTTTTTTCCTTGTTCTCACTCTGTTCGATTCGGTTCGCATTTAAACTGGTGTGCGGGGATGAGAGTGGGAGGAGAGGAGGTTGTCCTTCTGTCCTGATTGTCATTGCGGTCCGTTCTCAGGTCGCGGCGTGACCTGTTTTTGTTGCGTCATTTGGTCCTTGAGTTGCATTGGCGTGTACACGTGATCCAGTTAGAACCCTGTTCGGGAGAATCCAAACGTACAACAGCGTGACACACCGGTGAAGAATGATACTTCCTCATGGTATTTGGTCACAATGGCTACATCCGCAACTCTGAGTCAAAGGAAGAAAGAGACAACAGACGAAGAATCGAGAACAAGAACAACCCTATCGTACATCAAGGTCGTTTCGGAAATGACAACACGACTGCTGAGATCATATGGAATCCAAGTCGCTCACAGACCGACTGCCTGTCTAAGGAGACTTCTGTCAAACCAAAGGAGAGAACAACGGAGAAGGACAGAAACGGTGTTGCCTACAAAACAAACTGCAAGAACTGCTAAAAACAGTATATCGGACAAACTGGAAGAAAACCGTCCACAAGAATCCGTGAACACTCATTGGTAGTCAGGAGACATGACCTACTATCGTTGATTACCCTCCACGAAAATCATGAAGGACATCAGTTTTTCTTCGAATCAGTGAGAATTGTCGACCAAGCTCGGTCAAAACCTGCCAGGGAGTTTCTCGAGGTTCGGCACTCTTCAATCGACTCAATACAAAGGCACATCGTACTGGATCACGTGTACATGCCAATGCAACTCAAGGACCAAATGACGCAACAAAAACAGGTCACGCCGCGACCTGAGAACGGACCGCAATGACAATCAGGACAGAAGGACAACCTCCTCTCCTCCCACTCTCATCCCCGCACACCAGTTTAAATGCGAACCGAATCGAACAGAGTGAGAACAAGGAAAAAACAGTCGGTGGTGAAAAACAGACGAACGGGTACAAGCTGAACACTGCCACTTGACAAGCATTGATGATGTCACCTCGGATGGTGATGAAACGTTTGTAAACAAATTGCCATGTTCGGCGAACAGGCAAAATGGAATTCAGTTCGCCCGAGTTATGAGAACCGATTTTCAATACTTTGTCAATATGAGCTTCAGATTGACTTATTATCACTGTTTTTCATGTATCTCCCCCCCCCCACGCACACCAGCAATTGAATAATGTGCGCTACTACGCCAACATGACCCATCAAATTCAACGGCATCATGTCTGGGAACAAATGTCTTTCTGGGAAAGTGTTTTCAACGAGCATGTGAACAATCAGATTCGTCAATTGTATCTGCATTTTTCTGAACAAGAACAACAACTGAACTATCAGTCACATACGGACGAGCCGAACCGATCGGGCAGTCCTACCAGCCCCACGGAGAATGGTCTGTCTGACGGTTCGATCTCGTCAGATCAGCCGAAAGGAGAACGGATAATCCGGGTAGGGCTTCGCAGAAAATCACAGGTAAGCCGCATTCCCATTCTGCTTCCAGCTTATCGTGTCATATCGATTGTCTCGTTGTGCAATCATAAATCAATCTGCTGCTGATTGCATTCTGTTGACCTCTTTCTTTCTCCCGTGGTTTGCATTGACGCGGTCAATATTGCTTATTTGTCTTTCGGCTGTATTTTTTCTGCATGTAAAGTTTTGCCGAATGAGAGTGTACCACGGCTTTTCCTGTTGACCGCATCCTGTTTTCAATGTTGAATCGGATTTGATTTTGATACTGCCTGTCACAGGATAGCGATACCTCCCCCCCCCCCGGGAAGTGAGTGTTGTCTGTCTACTAGTGAATTTTTTTTCGTTTGTCGGGTACATAGTACAATCATTCGTAATGATGCTATTCAACTCGTTTCACTCAGACACACACCATATTTACCTGGTGTGTATTGATGCTTTTAATTGAGTTGTGGAGAATTTTAAGCGACCAACTAAAATCTAAACCTGCAGTCCTCTAGAACCTAGCGAAACAGATCTGATTGTTTGAACGGTGTCACATTACGTCATCGCTGATTACCAGGCACATACACGTTCTCTGTTTTGTTTGCTGTGTCTAATTCCCGTTCGATTCATCACGTGTTTGTCGTCCGCCAGGGCTGGTCCATAACGACGGTGTTGTATCAACACCATTCATTCATTCAATGTACATGCGTCTCTGATCTCTGATCTTTTGCGTGCGTTGTGCATTGTCGTTTGCTTGCATTTTTTCCACATTCCAACACTGTTCACTTTTGCCCACGCGGAAAATTATATGTCAACCGTTTATTTGTTTTACTTCCGAGAGAAATAAATGGCTCAACAAACAAGGGTAATTTTAAAAAGGAAAAATCCGCAATAAACTGATTTCTGTTACCTTCAATGACTATCTGGCAAAGAGGTGTTCAACCTGTTCAGTATGATTCAGTAAAAATGAACAGAATGTATTTGAAATTCCATCCGGTCTAGCAATGGACATGCTGATTTTTTCCATGATCCGGTTTCTCGCTCGTACACAAGTCCTTCTCTGTTAATAAAGGCACAGTGTTCTCAAATTTGAGTATAAACGGATCCAATGAGAAAGGATGAACAACATCAATGCATTAGCCCGGGGCTGTATGGCTCTCTCTGTTGGACTGTGTTCTTAAATTTCTAACTGAATTGTCAGTGGGTGGTGGTGCAGTGGTTTAGTCTGAGGTTCGAGCCCCGCCACCAACACCGCCCAAATTTGGTTGTAGGCAGCTTTGCCCTCGTCCGTTTCAATACCAGGCCTTTCCTAGCGGAGTCTTATGTGGCTCGTCACTCCAAGTCCTGTGGCTTAGGTTTCCGTTTCTTATCACTGAACAGCAGCAGCAGGTCCTCGTGACTATGGGGTTTGCCTCCTTGTGCTGCTCATCCCACAAATGTCTGTGTAATCAAAGGACTCGTGCTGTCCGAGTGCGGAGGATACGGACGTGTAGATGCATTTAATGATACATGAAAGCGTCCGTATATTTCGATTTCTTTTACTCCGGAATGTCGGATGCCGAATTCTGGTATATATACACACACCTATGTACACACTTAAAATAAACTGCACTCCGGCTACTATACAATCTTACCATTGAGTACAAAGTCATTGATGCCTCTGGTCAGTAAGTCCACATAGGTTAGAGGAACTTGATATGTTGCACGGAGAAATTCCCACACAGAACCGTGTTGCCAACACGGATCCATAGCATAATACGATTCAATAGTTTTTCCGCTTCTTTTTTGGGATTTGTTGTATATCGAGTTATTATGATTCGATAATCCTCAAACGCGTCCACACTTTGGTGATTGATGATTTGCTTTAACAAACTCACTGAAAATAGCCCGGTTGGGAGAAACGAAACCATGGATATTGAGATCTTTGTTGATTTGAAACATCACTATATTCCTTCCGTAAAAATTGAGGAAATAACTTAAACACAAGTCTTGGTGTGACTTAGTGAAAACTGTTTGCTCGGCTAAAGTTCCGAAGCCTCAACAAATCGTGATCATTCATAGGAAAGTTACGCAACATTCACTGTTCTGTATCCATGTGTTCGTTGTTATCACAGAGTCCAAAATCATGAACCACATACCTGTAAAACAGGTTCATCTCACGTGGTGTTAGTGGTGGTAGGGGGTGGGACGGGGTGGGAACCGGACTGTTTGATGCTGGCATCCATACGCCCCAAACCCACTCATGGACACGGGGGAAAGTCCAGATGCAAGCAGTACGATCACATGACCGTATTCGGGAATTTCGAATTCGAGTGTCAGCCTGTGCAATACAGAAAGCCAAAAAGGAAATATGTGAAACGTGTTTGACCTTTGCTATATATATATATATATGTGTGCCTGCATGTGTGTAGACACATCCCACGCCAATGTAAATAAATCGGAAATACATGTGCCGGAGTAGAGCGTCTCACTTGTATAAACTGCGGTTTTTCACACGGGAATCGATCTGATTGTCGAGAATCCTCGCCGCGTGATCTACTCTCATAGTGTTCACTTCCTGCAGACACATGCACGCATGCATGCAGATAACTGGTTAATGAAGCTGGAATTCGTCTCTATCTTATGCTTCGGAAATACCAAACAAAATCATTCGTCTCCCGATTGTTTCGTTCACTTCTTGTATCACTTTCGATACGTTAATTTGCAACCTGTTGGACGATAGGGTGTTGTTCGTCGACATTATTTTCGTGTAGAATTGAATCGTCCCAGTCTGAAGAGGGTTCGATTTAGAAGGGCAAATTGATTCTTGTGCAATGTTGTGCGTGTGCTCCGCAAGTTGTCATGGTAACCTGTATCTGTTTTTCATATTCACTGTTGCCGAACCGCAACTTGGCTTTTATCTGTCTCCAGTTCCACGTTAGTTTTCCATGGAATTATAAAACCATGTATTGGTCATACAACTGAGAATTCTCCGATCTCTACGAACACACGCACCCACTCATCAATCCTCGATGGCTCCCATTTCGAGGACGGACGACACCGGGAATTCATGTTTCAGTTTGAACGGTGATAGTAGCTCGATCAGTACTGGTTTATCCCATGCTGTTTTGTGCATCACGATCGTCTTTACCGTCTCTCTATCTTTCTCTCTCGGTTTCTCTTTTCTACTTGACTCTCTGTCTCACTCGCATACATACACACGTCTAAGGCCAAACTGGCAGAATGATTTTTATAGACGGAAATTAGTTTCATGATTTGCTCGAGGGCGCGATTATGCTAGGTTGCCCAGGCCAAGCAGGTGAATTTTCTTAGGCAGTTCAGAACCGGAGCCTTCGGCTAGCCAAAGCCTGACTGGCAAAGCAGCGGAGCAGTGTGAGAAAACCGCAATCGTTTGGGGGCTGGAGTTCAGTTAATTGAAGCATACATACCCTCTTTGGACGGGGTCAAAGGTCCAAGGTGCCCAATACACCTCGATGCACAATCGAGCCAGTGACCACTGCCACAATCGGAAAGGTGTGTACATGTGTGGTTCGTATACGTCGTTTTGGTTGGTTTAGGATCAGGGTTTTTCAAGCCAACTCCCCTAGGTGAACTCTCAGTGGTTCACCGACCCGGTTATAGCTCCGAATATTGGCTTTTCATCCTCTCACTTAAGGATGGGAGGGGAATACAACTCCGCCAAGGTAAGGTTTCCTTAGCAGAGGCTATTTGAGATCCTTGGTCGTATGGGAGCATTTGGCGAGGTGCAAGGAAGGAGTGAACAGCAACGACTAAAGACACCCTCCACCGACCATTACTGAGTCTTTCAGAGGTGTCTCTCTATCATTTTTACTTGACTGGGGTTGAACACTGTTCCGAACTGTTTAACAAATCCATATCGAACCCCTCGGATATTTATTTGTTATTTCGTTCGGGTAGAAGCGAGTCCTTTGCACATGTCAACTATATAATACCGGGTACACTACAGGTTTAATGTCCCCTCATCATATCGCCCATATGGATACACTAGCAATCTGTTTTTGAGGATGGACTAGCGAGAACACGATGTGAGAGCCAAATGAGATTTAGAACCGCACGACTGTGACGCCACGCGCCACACTCACTGGTTGCAATTTTGTTCCGTATTTCCGAGCCTATCCATAATTCGTACATTATTATGTATTGTTCTATTACTGATATTGTTTATGTCTAGGTGGGTCGATCAGATGACGTTTCGGTCAGGCAGTTGTAACAACTTTACCTGTTCTAAAACTACCGTTGCATTTGAATTGTCCAGATCTGCTTTGCTGCCATTAGCCTGAGTCCGAATAATCGGAAACATGATCTTTTAGTCCATATCTCCCATTAGCACGTCCGCGCGCATTCCCATTGTTTGAACCACACACACACGTTCTGTTTACCGGACAATTTATTGGTCGCTATCCACTTCCTCATCGTGCGGTGCGTGTGCTATCCGCAGGTCGTTGGTATGTTTACCACCCGCTTACCTTGTTTTTGGATACGGATCATTACTCATTCTCAGACGCACGCATGCACACACACACACACACACACATTGGGATCGTTTGTTCCCTGCCCCCCCCCCGCCACCTCCGGTTGTGCTGGCTAGACGCTGAATAGAACGTACACACATTAAGCATCTTTCGAAGTCCCATTTCTTTTTCAGGCGATTGGTCACTGGTCATCGAGCGGTGGTGTACTTGTTCGGTTATCTGCTTAACTCCACCACCACCAGAGGAATTTCCTATACGTGTTTATAACGATCGAACGGGGTTTGTCCGCTCCTCTCTCTCTCTCTCTCTCTCTCTCTCTCTTCATCTTTGGGTGAGTAGATAGCATTCATCCATAAACCCTTACCAACCGGGCAAGTTAAATAGCTCAACTATTGAGTGAATTATTCTCATGTACTGCTTGACACAACTGTGTTCCCACAAACTCTGAAACGAGG